AATTAAAAAAGGAACGGAAATTCCATATAAAATACAAGGAAGCAGTCTTCCGATAATTTTTCTACTATCTGCAAATTTTCAAAAAAAAAATTTTAGCATACTGCGATTAAAGGAGGGCAAAATATCACATAGTGCCACAGTTTTTGAAAATATTTTCAAGGGTTTGTAAAGCACAATACCAAACAAACCGTATTCAATATTTGAGTTTTTAGAATGTGAAATCAGAGATAAAGTTAACCCATTTAGGATAAAATTCTAAATTAATAAAAGCAAGGATAAAGTAAGTTAAACATTAGGTTATCCTGTATTAAAATACATTCTATAGTCTCAAGAAGGTGTAGTTTGATGGAAATTACAATTTCGATTAACATTAACAAGTGAAATAACATTAAATCATACGCAATAATACCTACGAATTATTCAGGTAATTAGAAATTAGAAATTTAATTGTATTTCATTATCTTCAATCATTTGCTCCTTCAAGCCATTTTTGTATCTCTTCTTTGTCGATCTTGTTTTGTGAAAGCCGGTAGCGAGTTCACCATAGATCACAGTTTTAGAAAGCGGTAATCTTCCATCCTGAAGACATGTCCAATCCTAATTATCACGTAAATTATCTAATCGTCGCATTGTCACATCGCCAACAAATATCAATTCATTGAATTGAATTTTTAGTATTTTTTAAGAACTTCCCCACATATCATTAGATTGGTACAAATTATGTATTAATAAAATTCAACGCATCGGCAATCTGATATAAATATATCTGTAAAATTCGGCGCCCCGTATTAATCAAAGAAAATACAAAAAAAAAAAAGATTTTCCAAGATCAATGATCTGAACAAGGCCAAAAAATCAATTATTAACTACCAAACTCTGACTTACAACGATTTAATTTCATTTATTGCTATTTTAAGCTGTGGTCGCAAAGATTCAGTACGAGGGGATTACTAGCACATATTTCTACTTCATTTCGACTTTTCAGCTCATTTTTCAAACCATTTTCATAAGATTTTATTTTGTTTTACTTCTGATATAAATATGCAAACACATCTTTAACTATCAAATCGAGATGAGTCATATTTATGAAATACCATGATTTGACATTATATTGCAAATTAGCTGAAAGAGAAATTAACCAAAAATTTACTATAGCATATGCAAATACATTCAGTACTAATATTGGATT